CACAATAAAGGTAACATACAACAAACCTATAGTCAACATTATGATAACAATGGAGAAAAGTTGAAAGCATCGAGGCTTTAAGGAAATTCACCAACCTGAATTCCTCATCCAATAAAGACAAGCTCCTCTAACCCAACATTTTACTAGCCAGTCAGTCCTGACCAGGACTCTGGTTATGACCTGGCTCTGCCAGGAGACCCAGAACTCCCAAAGACCTACAAGGACAGCTCTTAGAGTTAAGCTTGGCTATTTAGATTTTGGGTTGTTTTTTTTTTTTTTTTAAATGAAGACAACAACATGTTTCAGGAAAGATGAATTATAAACACTTCCCCTTCATCTTAATAATTCTCCAGGCCCATTCATCTATCGGATGAATTAATAAATCAGGAATATAACAACTTTGAAAAGGTATAAAGACACGTTATAATCACAGGGCCAGTGACTGTCAAGAGGGAAGCTACTGAAACGGGCATGTGCCATAGCACCTAGAACTGACCGCAGCTGAAACAGGCATGTGCCAAAGCAGCAGACATTCAACAAATGAGAATAAGGTCACATGACAGAGGAAGAGGGGAGGCCGAGGGGAAGGAGCAAGGAAAGGACTTCATTTCATTCTGTGCACGCGCGCGCGAGCGCGCGCGCGCGCGCACACACACACACACACACACCACGCACACAATGTGAACACGGTTCAAAACAATAATCAGCCTCTTTGTCTCCCAAGAACAACACTTCCCTCCAACAACAGCACATGCATGGGGGTTTTCTGGGGAACCTAATTGTTGCTAAAATTGGTAATTTTCTGCCAGTGAGCTTGCTCAGAGTATATCCAACCACACCTGATGACCTGAGCTTGATCCGCAGAACCCACACTGTGAGAGGAGCGAACAGACCCCCACACGTTGTGCCCTGACCTCCTCACCTGTGCCACCCCACCCCAACCCCCATCACCAAATGAATGCATGTAACTTTTTAAAGTAATTGTTAAAGTGGATAACTTTAGAAGAAGCAAGTGGTGGTAATGGTGGAACCAGCTGGGGTTAGAGAAAGCAGCTACCTGAGCGGACGGACAGACACCTTCATCCCAATGGCTGCACGCCTACTGCTTGCCAAGGTCCTAAAAGGAAGTCGCTATTGTCTAACCTAACCGTGTTTTCGTGGCCAATTCCCTGTCTTGTCTTCTGAGGTAATGTCTGTAAGTCTTGGCATCGAGGGTGCTTCCTGAACACGCGTCAGCTGTTAGCAATAGTGTTTTTCCTGACAGCTAAACATTAACATAAAGGAAAAGCATTGAGCTTCAGGCATGGACACCATTCTCTGTCGTAGGGGCCACACGGCTTTTCCTGGGGAACCAAGGAGAAGGCTTCCCGAGGTATGAAAAGGAAACCCCTGCTTTGGGCTTATTTACACAAAAGTTTAATTAACTGTGCTTCCTGATCCACACGAGTCCACAGAATGCTCATGCTGAGGGGGTCTGCAGAGACGGACAGACATCCAAGGCGCCCCACCCCACCCTGCACCTCAGAGACCATGCATCCCTCACCCTCACCTTTCATTTTGATTGAATAAAATCCAACTGCCGCTCCATCCCTCCACAGGATCTTAGCTTGCTCCTTCGCCGGGTGAGGTAAGAAAAACATGTCATCGTCATCCAGATCTCTCTCCAGTCTTCCAAAAACGATGGTGTTGAGAACATAAAGGACAATCCTTTCCCCGAAGGACTGAACCTTGAAGAAAGAGCAACCAGCACTGAGACCAGACAAGAAAGGCGGCGTGTGGCGGGCCAGGTGTGGCAGGATGCTCTTGATGGGGACGCAAATTGTGGGGTCTCAATACCACTGATTTATCACAGTGTAGTATGGAGTGTCAGTGCCAGGGGAGACTCGGGGCCACAGGGTGTGACCAGCTGAGGGTAATAGAACAGGAAGTTGCCTCTAGGGCAGCCAGGTCAGCCATTCTAAGAGATGACTGGCTGTGTCCTGAAATAAACCTAATCTGCCATTTTTACAGCAGTGACATCCTCATCCCCGGGGAGGGAGGGAGATCATTGCCACAGTGAAAGCCACTGATTTTCACAACTTATGACAGATTTCAAGCACATGCTGCCGTCCCAACCCCAGGGCATGACTAGGACCTGAGGCCCACCTTGAACTAAGTTATATAATAGAACCCTCCTGTCCAGAGCAGACTCATCCCTGTAGTCAAATTTAGGCCCACCGAGTTGCAGGCTTTCTCTTACACAAGCCAAAAATGATATCGTGTTCCTGTCTGTGATTGTGAGTACGGAAGGGCAAATGTGTGGCTGAAATCAGGGTCTCTCTTCCGGACTCATAGCTACCTGACCATGTCTGGCTACACAGCCAGGCTATGATCTATTGATCCTGCCAACATCCGTCTAGGCAGCACAGGTAACTGATAAACATCGGTGTATAGGGTGAAAGCAGCCAGCCATTCACACAGTGACTGGCTCACAGCCCTGGGTTTTATCCTACAACTCCGCTGCGTGACAGCCAATGTAGTGCATGTGTGGGCGCGTGGATCCACATTACAACCAGATCCACCACACCCCCGGAGCTGTGACTTCCGCCCACGTGCTATCACCTGATTCTCATCTGCTGGGGAAGGCCCAGCTTACAGGTGCAGAAACTGAAGCTCAAAGAGGTTAAGTGAGTACATGCATCTGTTTTACTGTCTCGTGCCAATGACATCCTGAGCCAGCTGTGCTGGGGGCTAGCTAGCTCAGGAACAGGCTGGAGGGACAGGCCAGGGTTCTTCATTCCAAACAGCACACACCCGCTCAAGCCCAGACACCCTAATTCCCTTCTGCTTCCTCATCCACCAGGCTTTGGGAATGGGAGCATTCATCAAAAACATCGATGCATGGTCTTAACAGTCAGTTTTACTTATTTATGTTGTATGTTACTGTTCATACAGATGGTGCCTGTATATAATGGTGTGTGTGTGTGCATGTGTGTGTTGGGGGTCAACATCAAGTATCGTCATTCTTCAGGCACTGTCCACTCTAATGTTTGAGGCAGGGTCTCTCACTGAAACTGGAACACACCAAACAGGCTAGGCTGGCTGGCCAGTGAGCCTCAGGGATCCTTGGACTCTGAGTCCCAGGCTCTGGTCTCTGAAAGCATGTGCCACCATAGCCAACTTCTTGTGTGGGTTCTGGGGATTGAACTCAGGTCCTCATGCCTGCCTGGCATGCACTTTACCACATAAGCCATCTACCCAGCCTCCTAGTTTGAGGTTTAATACCAGATCCCAGAATGACTGTCCTGCCCAACATCTTCACTATCCTTGTGCTTGAGGGACCTCAGCCATTCATTCTTCTTTAAGATTCAGTTCAGGGGATAAGATCCCTTGAGTGAGCTCTAAAACGCTTGTCTGTTGCTATTTTTGTATATGTATGTGTGCTCTCTCTCTCTCACACACACACATACATACACAGATACACATGCATGCGGACACATGCACACATGCATGCTAGCACATGATGTACATATGTAGACACATGGTCCACATGTGGAGGTCACAGGACAACTCCGTAGACTCAGTCCTCTCCTTCTACCATACAAGGGTCTAAGGACTCAAATTTAGATCAGCAGGCTCACAGCAAGCACTTTTACCCACTGAGCTGTCTCACTGGCCCACAGCCTTTAAAAATGCTGGCTAATAATAATAAGGCAGCTCGCCCTAGCATCCACACAGAGTGTCCAGTGTCCACAGACTTCCTCGTGGGTGCAGGATGTAAAGCACGTCTCCTTCATCGGGAGCCAGCTCTTAGAAGAGGAAAAGATGTGCGGATCTGACCGCTTCCCTTTCTATCTCAGACAGTGGCAGCCAGATCTGAAGTTGAACTTTAAGAACGAGCTGGTCTCCAGAGCTAATGGGGACCATCTGGGAGGCAGCATTTCTCAGCCTATGAAGCCAGAGGAGAAGCAGGCTGCACGTGGCAGAAAGGAAACACCCAATCATACCCTGGCAGGAGAAGAAGGAGGAAAAGGGAGTGGGCTTAATTTGTCCAATTCCATTACAGGAAGAAAAAAATGTGGGACATGCCATCTTGACTTAGAAGCATTTCCAAAAACATAACACTAAGATCCATTTCTAAGCCATCATTGGGACCACTAATTGCATTAACAGAGACAGCATTCAAGGAGATTTTTCTAGTAATGTGTGAAAAAATAAGTGGCTAAGAAACAAAACCTGATTTTAAAAAAAAAAAGTTTAGACAAAGTCTTAAAAACAATGGAAGGAAATACCCATGTATGGGAGAAGGACATGGAGGAGGACATGGGGGGGGAGGACATGGGGGAAGGACATGGAGGAGACATGGGGGGAGGACATGGAGGAAGGGACATGGAGGAGGACATGGAGGAGGACATGGAGGGAGGACATGGAGGAGGACATTTGGGAGGACAACAATGGAAGGAAATACCCATGTATGGGAGAAGGACATGGAGGAGGACATGGGGGGGGAGGACATGGGGGAAGGACATGGAGGAGACATGGAGGAGGACATGGAGGGAGGACATGGAGGAGGACATGGGGGGAGGACATGGAGGAGACATGGGGGGAGGACATGGGGGAAGACATGGAGGAAGACATGGAGGAGGACATGGAGGGAGGACATAGAGGGGAGGACATGGGGGAAGGATATGGAGGGAGGGCATGGAGGAGGACATGGGGGAGGACATGGAGGGTGGACATAGAGGGGAGGACATAGGGGGAGGACATGGGGTTGGAGGACATGGGGGGGAGGACATGGGGTGGGAGAACATGGGGGAGGATATGGGGGTGGGAGGACATGGAGGAGAACATGGGGGGAGGATATGGGGGAGGACATGGGGGGGGGGCATAGATAGGGGTAGAATGCCCAGAAGTGGTTTGTTTGGTCCTTCTATTCAGAACATGCACATACACAGGACACTCTCAGAAAATTGGGGGTGGGCTCCCAATCCAGACTTGGAAAAGATAGGAAATGAGAAACTCTCATTCTGGAAGTCTAAAGAACAAATCAGTCTTCTGAGCACAAACAGCCTGTGAGAAAAGGGCTAGGACAACAGCAGCACACAGCTGCACCATGGTCCTTCACTGAATCTCAAGGCAGCATTAATTCTCTGGAAGAAACCCTTGGCAGAACATCTTTAATAGCATCTATTGAGTCCACTGAATCCAGATCATTTTTTTTTAAACAGGCAGCTTACAGAATGGGAAAAGAACCATCCAAGTTTTTTTTTTTTAATAACAAATGTATGATAGTTCTTTTATCACAAATATGTGATAAAAGGCTTGCAGGGAAAATATGTGGGAAACTCTTACAATTTAACAATAAAAATTCAAATATTCCAATCAAAAAGTCATTTTGGCTAAGGAAGGATCACAACAGGCATTCTCCAAGAGAGAGAACATACAAATGTCCATTAAGCACAAGAAAAGATGCTCGGTCTCCTGGCCGGCAGGGAATGCACATCAACACATCTCTAGGGTACCACTTCACACCTGCAGGATGGCACACAAGCCACTTGTCAGTTGCTGTAATAACACACCATTACCGGAAGTAACTGAAGAGAAGGGTGATTTGGGCTAAGGTTCCAGAGGGACATTATGGTGGGAAAGACATACACAGAAAGGAGAGAGAGAGAGAGAGAGAGAGAGAGAGAGAGAGAGAGAGAGAAAGAGAACAGGATGTGAGGCAAGACTCTAAAACCTCAAAGCCCTCCCTAACTCCCCAAACAGCACAAGGGACTGGGGACCGAGTGTCCCGACACCCAAGCCTATGGGGACAGGTTCCATTCAAAGGACCGCAGACAGGGAATGTAAGTGGCCGACAACAGCGTGCGCTGCTGAGGACGTGGAAAGACTGGAACCGGCTGGTGCTGCGGTGGGTAAGTCAGGTGAAACAGTAGCTGTGGACACAGTCTGGCAGTCCCTCAAACTATGAACTAGAGAGACACCATGTGACCAGTAATTATGCTCCCAGGTATACACTCAAGAAAATTCCAAGTCTATGTCCTCATAAAAAGTCACACACAAAGACTCATGACAGCTAAGACGTGAACAGTACTCAATACCCATCCACTGATGAATGGATAATAAAATATAGTCTACCCATATGCAGGACTGTCGTTCAGCTAAAAGCAGAGTTGGGATAATGAAAATGCTGGAGTGATTGATTGAAGTCTACTAAACATCATGGGATTGTACATTTTTAGAGTAAAGTTATGGCATACAAATTACACATCGATGAAGCTTGCTTAAAGTAGGACTTAATTTTCAATTGTGTGTTTGTGTGCTTGTGTGGTGCATGTACTTGATTGAGTGTGGGAATGTGGGAACCCGTACAGAAGCCACAGCAGGACCTTGAGTGTCTTCCTGCGTCAGCCTTACTGCCTTGGAACAGTCTCTCACTGAAGCAGACGTCTGCCATCTTGTCTCAGCTAGTCTTCCAGGGAGTTCTTGGGGTTCACCTGTCTCCTCCCCTCACAGACGGAGTACACACAGCTATGCCTGGCTTTTTACACGGGGGCTGAGGATTCGAACTCAGGTCCTTCCATTTGCAGAGCAGGGGTTCTTACTGAGCCATGTGCTCAGCCCTCGGACTCAATGTTTGAATTGTTCGACAGAAGAAACTACACTAGAAACTCATTCTCCAGACTGAATGCAAACAAATGTTAACATTTCACTCAGCTCTTACTGAACCCCACAGAAAGAAGTGAGTGGTTTGCTAGAAAACTGTGGAAAGACATACCATTCCAAGATGATACAGAGCATTATCATTACCTCACCTACATAATGAAAATAAATCTGCCAGCCAAATGAGCAGGCAGTTAGGAGGCACACAGTCAGCTCTCTCTCGGTCAATTCCTGCCTCCCTCCTTAGCCCCACTCCGGCTGAAGTTCAGCTGCTCTCTTGCACTCTGAGAAGCTGATCGCCGCTGCCTGCCTTCATCCTCATCATCCCAGGCCCCTGCATTACCTACCATTGCACTTCAAAGGCACCAGGCCTGACGTTAGGGGCACGGAGGTTCACACCCAATTCACAACTAAATCATTCACTGGTTAGGTAACTCAAGCCTGCGCCTCCAAGGACACAAAAAAAAGACCTCGAAGATTCTGAAGTTAGACCAGCCCCATGAAGGAGCTGGGATAACAAATATGCAGGACAGACCAACTGGTTTCCAAATCTTCTATCCATAACCATGACCTGAATATACTCTACAGAAAAACTGCTCAACACAGCAGAGAAATGGAATGGATTAAAGTTTACAAACTGAGGCACGAGAGGCATTCAGGATGGTAAAGCAGACTGAACGGTAGTCAGGTATCTGGTGACCAGTCACATGTTCCTGTTTTCCTTGGTGGAGGGACGCTAATAGCATTGAAGGGTGTGCCCCTAAAAGATGTTGAAATCCCCACCAGTACCTGCTAAGGGAACTTATTTGGAATGGGTTTTTATTGGTGATGGAGCTATGATTGTACATTACTCTTCCAAAGTCCAATACAAATGATGTCTTTATCAAAAGGGGTCTCAACACAGGCTGACAATGTTTCCAAAGATGGGCATGTGGAGACACGTGAACACCACCATCTTCTGGTCAAAGAATTGCTAAGAGCAACCAGAAGTGGGGATACAGCATACAACAGATTCCCTCAGCCCTCAAAAGAAATACTCCGTGACTTCAGACCTCCAGCCTTCAGATTCAAGAGACAGGGAAAAGTTTGTTGTGTAAGCATGCCAGACTTGGTACCCTGCAGGGCAGTCCACAGAATGAACACAGGGAGCTAGACAACGTAGACACAGAGGAAACCATTCTTCAGGCAGTTAAAAAGTGGCTCCCCGATAAAGATGCTTGCTATTCAGCCTTAATTTACTAACACACGCCCCAGCAAAAAGACCTCGAAAACCTGTTTTGTTTGTTTTCATTTAAAGTCATATTCCCTCACCTTCATGAGCCCTTCCCTGGCGGGATCAGAAGTTCTTAGGACATCTTCGATGGACCACCAGGACTCCTTTAGGTAGACAGCCACAACTGAAGGGAAAAGCAAGAGAAAGGCATGAGTCCCACATAAAAACTCACTGAGGGTGGGGCAGCACTTTCAATAGCCTGGGCCAACCAGCTGAGGGCGTTGTGGGTGAATCAGGTGACATTTTTATCATTTGCGTTGTTTTATGATGTTGGGGAATGGAACCCAGGGCCATGCACATGCTATACAGGTGCCTTATTACGGAGCTAGCGCCCCAGCCTGAGGTCAGGTTTGCGGCATTCTGTAAGAACACAAATCCGAAGAGTCACCTGAAAGGGACAAGATGGGTATTTCACAGGTGGCCTGTCTGTGGCTCCGAAAAAGAAATACCCTGATGCGGGCTGAATAAAACAAAACACAAACCAATATTGAAGCATTCAATGAGATAAGAAACGTTTTTTTTTTAAGGTTTGGGGGTATAGCTCAGTTGGGAGGATGCTTGCCTAATGTGCATGAAGCCCTGGGCTCAATCCCACCACCGCATAAACCGAGACTTCAGTAGTGTACATACCTGCAATCCGGCATTCAGGGGCAAGGATGAGGGGTAGAGGCAGGAGAGAAGGTCATCCTCAGCTATATAGCAAGCGTAAGGCCAGCCTGGGCTACATGAGACTCTGCCTTTACAAAAATTTATTTGTCCTTGTTAGGAACATATATCAAAGTCTAATCATTTGGGGTTGGAGAGACAACTCAGCCATTAAGAGCACCCACTGACCAGGTGTGCTCAGCATCTGGGAGGCAGAGGCAGGCAGGTTCCTGTGAGTTCGAGGCCAGCCTGGTCTACAGAGCTAGTTCCAGGACAGCCAGGGCTGTTACACAGAGAAACCTTGTCTCTAAAAACAAAACAAGCAATGAAAAGAGCACTCACTGCTCTGGCGAAGCACCCAGGTTCCGAATTTACAGCGCCCGCAGTGCGGCTCAGCGCATCCCCAAGCCCAGTTCAGAGTCTCTGGGGCCTTTCTCTGACCTCTGCAGGATCCAGGCACACGTGGAGCCCAGACACACGTGCAGGGAAAACTCATACATGTAATATTTTTAAATAATACATCTTTAAAAAAAAACATATCCAATCATTTGCATAACTCTTAACTCCCCGCACACCGTAAGATGGAATGTTACCTATGGGCTCTGAGTGAAGAGAGTTACTTCCTGTGTGCTGAGCAATGCCCTGGCACTGGACTCTGCCCAGCCTGCTTTCCCAGGAATTTCCTCCAGCCCCATCATGAAACTGTTATCAGCATCGTTCTGAGGACACTGTAGCTCTGAAAGGGAGGGTGGGCTGAAGACAACTGGCTAGAAAGAGCAGAGGGAGGGTCCAGCCCTGGACTCTGGACCACAAACCCAGGAAAAGGGCAGAGATGCGGCAAGCTCTTCAGAACCGGGCGGATCGCGTGGGGAGAGGCTGTCTTTGGAGAAGGCGGCCCTGGAGCAAAGACTAAGGAAGGTGGTGGAGGGGTGGTGGAGGGGTGGGGGGTGCCTTCCCTTCCTCCAGTCTCGCTCTTACCTTGCCACACCTCAAAGGTGACAACACCGCCCTGCTGACTTCCCCAACATCCTTTGAACCAAGTGTGGCTGTGGACACCTATTCATACCCTGCCCCAGATTCCTCACCAGAGTGGTCCAAAGACATGGCCCCAGGTGTCTAGGAATCTGCAAGGGGGACTGGGTTTGAAATACCCAGCATAAAGTCGGCAAGCGGGATGTGCTCCTCCTTGCCTGCCAATCAATGAGGTGGTTACTCCATGTCTTCCTGCTCCCTTCTCTACTCAGCCTCCTGCCTCAGATGACTAAGGTAGTCCCTCCCCTGG